CTGTAGATTTCCTACATCTTGTTTGAAGTCCTGTATCACTTTCACTGTTTTGTTTCCATTGGCTTTATTCTCTTTTATTTTGTTTGGTTTTATTCTCTTTTTTAAAAAAAACAGTGAACAAGAATTTTAATAGGCATTTCTCTAAAGGAGAAATGCACACAGAGCACCAATTTGTACATGAAAAGATGCAGAAGGTCACTAATCATTAGGGAAATGGGAATCAAATCCCTCTCACCCACCAGGATGATTATGTAACAAACACAAGATGTGATGGGGTGGGCGAGGACAGGTGGAAATTGGAATGCTGTGAAATTGCTAATGGCTATACAAAACTGGTGGAGAACCTCAGAAACTGTGTGGCTTGTGTTTCAATGTCCCCCCAAATGTGGTCACAGGGCTTTTCCAGAGGTGGCTAAATCTAGAGTGTGGTGTGATGCTGGGATCCGTGGGCTGCCATTAAAGTGGGTGATTGCTGGGTCAGTCCATTGATTGGATCTGCAACCCCCAGCCATCTGGGTGAGAGAAAGGGGGCAGAAAGAGGTGTGTCTCCCCCTTTTGCTCTTGTTGCTTTTGCTGTTTTCCAGCACCATGAATAGTTACACCCCTGCCATATGTCCCCCTCCCTGGAGCCAGCTGATCATGGACTGAAACCTCCACAAACTGTGAGCTCCATAAGCCTTTCCCATTTTAACTTTGGGGTTGGGTAGTTTGGCTCAGCAACAAGAGACAAGCAAGTAAGACAGAAACTGAGAAACACAATTACCCAGCCATGCCACTTGTGGGTGTGTCTCCCAAGAACTGAAAGCAGAGATGCGGGCAGACACGCGTGCACCCCTGCTCTTAGGAGTGTGTTCACAGGACCAAAGGCGGGGTCAGCCTGGTGTTCACTCCCTGATGGATGGAGTATAAACACACCGTGGAGTATGAGTCACCTCCACAAAGAAAGAAAGTTCTGTCCACCTCGAGGATGAACTTTGAGGGCGCTATGCTAGTGCAAGGCTGGGAGCAATAACTCCTGAGAGACGGAAAGCAGGTGGGTGGTGCCAGGACCTGGGAAGGCGGCCGAAGGGGAGGTGATGTGTAGTGCACACTGTGTCTCGGCTTTGCGCAGTGAGGGGATCTGCGGACGGGCTCCTCAGCAGGTGACGTGGGCCTGTGTGTGTGATTAAGAACGGTGAAGGAGAGGGCATGACAACGGCGAGGAGAGTGGAGGACAGCGCCAAGCTGAGTTAGAAGGAGCCAGGCTCCTGCCCCAGGGAGTGAGACGTTTCCACAGCTGCACCATTTTCTAAACCTCGCCACTGTAACTCAGCATCCACGGCTTCGCTCTCTGGGTCTTTCATACGCTTCTCTCAAGATGGGCAGTTCCTGACGTGCACGCTGTGGGCTGACCCGCACCTCAGCACCACCTCCTCCTGTTCAGCAGTCTGAGTTTCCGCCCTGATGGCATTTTTGATGTCACGAGCATTGGTGTGGTCTTGGTTCTCTTTTTAAAAGTTCCATCCTCTTTGCCAGGTGTGGTGGCACCCTCCTGTAATCCCAGCCCTTGGGAGACTGAGGCAAGAGGATCACCATGAAAGAGTTCAAGACCTGCCTGGGATACATAGTGAGACTGTCTCAAAAAAATAAATCCTGTTTTTCAGTTTCTAACACTCTTGCAACCTTTCTATCAAACAGTCTTTTTTCAGGACGAGAATGTAACCCAGGGCCTCCCCCTGTGCTGTCTCAGTGCTTGAGTTTTTATTTTGGGATAAGGCTTCAATACCAGTGCCCTGTCTCCGCACATTGCCGCTGTCCCCCAGAAGGCCCGTCTCAGGAGCCTTATTTAAGCACGAAGTTCCAGGTTGGTGTCAGACAGTCCCTGATACAGTGCTCAGCGCAGCCAGGTGCCCAGCCTGGAAGGGGCACAGAACAGGTGGCTGATTCTTTCACGGAGTCATTACACGGAGAACCACCAGAGGGCAGAGCGCGCCTGCCGACTCCTGATTTGCTGTGAATCCTTTCAGCTGGGCTTAGTGTCCTCTGGTTCACTCCGGTTCTTGGAGGTCTTTCTGATGCCCGAGAAGGCAGCCGAGTCCAGCCCACGCCCCTCCTGTCTGGGTGCAGCATCACGTGGGTTCCTCGGGGCTGGGAACTGTACCTTCTCCCTCTGACCGAGTCCAGCAGGGTGGCCAGCCCTGGGGAGATTAAGGGGGCAACAGCAGCCACCCTTCACAGCCAGCTTCTCTCCAGGCCTTACTCCTCATAGCACTGTAGTGGACTGTGGCTTCTGTCCATGCGAGTTCTTTCAGTGATTTGTAGCCATTAGTTCTGTTTCAGTGATCAAGATACCATGATCTGGGCAAAAGATGCTCTCACCTGGCTCTTGCGGTACTGACAAAATTTTGACAAAAATTTCAGTGTCTTTACTTTTTGGCAACAAAATACACCAAACTGTCTTGTACATTCTCGGTCCCAAAAGTGTAACCGGACAATTTTCCAGGTCCCAATTGTTTTCCTGGGACACTGACATTAGGGTCCAACCTCCACAAGGTGCCTGTCGGCTGCATTCTGCTGGCATTTACGTGAGTCAGTCAATAGTCTATCCATCCATCGTATGAGGGCCGCACATCTGAGTATGCAGATTCTAGTGTACACGTGGTAAGTGTGCCCTAATCCACAGACTAATGCTCAGAGTGGGAGGGCACAGGAGAATGCCAGCAATGTCACAGCATGCAGACTGCGTCAGAAATAGTGTTTTAACTTACAAGGCGGAGGCTCTGAGCTCACTTCTCTGCATGCATGTTTCCTATGATCATTTGTAAGGACACGTCTGCGGTAGTCTTCCAATCTTCAGTGGCTTTGACATAAATCCAACCAAGCAAGATGCAACTGTAGGTCCATTAGTTGCACTGGCTGTGATGCTGCAAGCTGGAATTGGCCAACATCCTGGGGACAGCCGGCACCCCAGGCCTGACCAGGTGCTGCAAAGTCACACACTGTGGTGGTGAGGAGGGCAGTACTGTCCCTTACCGATTCCTGTCGCCACACAGCCACCTGGAAGCTCCTGGGACACTGCGCTATCAGCAAGACAGGCTGGTGGCCCTGAGGGCTATGTCTCCTCGCTCCTGGAATCATGGTCAAGGTGTCAGCAGTGTCCACAACTCCTCTCCGCTCCCTCGGCTTCCCCAGAAGGGCACTGACCCCTCTGGCCTGGTCCCTCCTGGAGACTTCGCTTTGTCACGACAATACCCAGGGGCTGAGACTGTCACCCACAAATTGCAGGAGCACTGATGCCTGAGACTATGGCCCTGGGGAGGGAATTGCAGCCCTGGAGACTCCAGGATGGGACGCCAGGACAGTGCCTGGAGTGGCCGGGGTCAGTGGACCCAGCAAGGACTCTGGGGGACAAAGGGGAGTGGCAGCTTCAGCCACGTGGCAGAGGGCCAGCCTAGGGGGGCAGTGCCAGTGGGGAGGGGGCTCCGCACCCAGGGACAGGTGAGAAGCTGCTGGGCCACAGGAGGACAGCAGAGCAGAGGTGGCCTGGGCCACGGCACCACCACATGCGTGGGTGCCCCTCACTGTCACAGGCACCTCAGGACTACTGTGGGCGGGGAGCGAGACCAGGGTCCTGTGGTTGCCTGGTGCTGACCCTCCGAAGGCAGAAGCCTACGTGAGCTGAGAATGTTTCCTCTTTCCAGCTTTTTATTACTTCCAAGAGTGGAAAAATCTCAGGACTACCTGTTTCTCTGGGGCGGGGGGAGGCTGTGGTCTAGTAGGGTCCCCTGAAACCCAGATCCCTGAAGACCCTAACTCAGCCTGGGGTCCAGCTCCAGCGTGGTCCCCGGGGAAGGGGGATGCAGCACTGTGGGATCTCTGAATGGCGGTCAGCACGGGCATTCGCCACTGGGACCCACGGCCCCTCCACCCCACTGTTGAGATCTGAAGGGCACAAGGGAAAGGACTGAGTTAGCAGCCTCTTCCCTAAAGTTACAGATCCCAATCTACTTCCTCTTACCTTTCACGCTCACTGGGGTGTGGCTCGAAACTATTCCAAACCCACAGAAATTCCAGTCACCCGGAGCAGCTGCCGTTTACTTAACTTAGACATTTTTAGCAACTTTAACAAATAATATTTTGACTTTCTTTTTCTGTCCTTTATGGAACAAAACTCGATGTGATTCTTACAGGTATGGTACATGAAATATATGTTCACATCCCCTTTCTCTTAAATTGAATTGTGTATATAAAATTACACTTCATATATAACTTTTGTGAGTCTCTTTATAAAGGTAAAAGTAATTTACATCCTTATTACACGATGATAAATTGCTCCAACTAATAAACGTCCAGAGTGCACGGCCACCACTCTGAGCACCTCTTGTCCCTGTAGGTACCTGGCATGAATCTCATGATATCACAGTAAATTTAGTATTAAAATATTTGTACAAGTTATTCTCTTCCCAATGTACACATTTTTTTGGTGGACTCTTATTTTTACCTACTATTACCTATAGATCCAAATTCTTAAACTTATCACAAACTTTAATGCTAAACTAATTATGGATTTTAATAATGCATGCTATGGTTGTCTTTATTCCCCCAAATCCAGAAACACTAAAAACAAAACAAAACTAAAGGCAGGAGTCTGGCACAGTGGTGGACCCTGTAGTCCTGGCTACTCAGGAGGCTGAGGCAGGAGGATCCCCGGAGCCTAGGAGTTGGTGGCCAGCTTGAGCAACAAGGCAAGACGCTTCTCAAAAACAGCAGGGACAAGAAACAGGACAAGGCCGGCCACGCGGGTTGAGTCACAGCATGCTGCGGATGCCTGACTCCCGGATTGAGATTTGAAACCCCTGACTTTTGTGGTCGCCGCGGTGCACACCAGAACCTGGCCCGCTTTCCGGTTAGCGTCGAGTTTTCCCTGGCCGTCGGGGGTGGGGTGGGGTGGGGTGGGGTGGGGTGTGGGCAGACGCCGGCCCTGCCCCCGGCGCTTCCTAGAGGACCTGCTCCACGTGAGGACCCAGGGACGTTTTCCGGTCCCCTTCGGCGGGTGCCTGGGGCGCGCGCTGTCTCCACGCTCGGGGCCTAGTGCGCGGTCACCGTCGCCCTCACTGCACGACGCCCGTGGGGTGCGCGGCCCGCGATCCGCGGTGACCCCGGTGGCCGGGGTTCAGCGGCCAGAGGGCGCTGCGGCGTCCGGGCGCGGGCGTGGCGCGAGCAGCCGGCGGGCTGCGCCATGGCGCTGGGAGCCGCGCTGCGGGCCAGGGCCGGGGCCGGGCCCGGGGCCGGGGCGGGCGGCAGCCTCGCGCTGCGCTGGGTGCGGAGCCGGGCCCGCGCGCGAGGCGACGAGGACGCCCAGGCCGTTCTGGAGCTGGAGGCCGAGGCCGCGGGGCGCGCGGACCCCGAGAGCGCGGGCACCCGGGGCGGCCAGGCACCGCGCCCAGCCGCGCGCGCCGAGCCGGAGCCCGAGCCGGAGCCCGAGCCGCGGGCGCCCGGAGAGCCGCGCGGGAAGCGGCGCCGACGGCGGCTGAAGAAGTACGGCAAGGTAGGGCGCGGCCCGACGGGCTGGGCGGACTTGCGCGCTGCCCGCGGGGACGGCGACCTGGGAGGCGGGGAGCCCGAGCCTGGCTGGGTTCCCGGGACGCGCCGCCCAGGGTCCCCGGTAGCGGACGGGGCTTGGGGTCCCCCAGGGCCGGCGATCCGCGAGCCCCGGCTGCGCTCCGTAGGCGTCTGCGCTTCCGCTGAGAGCCTGGCGCTCGACTTCGGGTGCTCAGCCTTCGGAAGCGGGGCGCCCGAGGACGAGGGAGGGGAGCAGGGCGGAGGAGCCGCCTGCCCCGGGGTCAGGGCCCAGGGAAACTCGCCCGCCTGCGCCTTGGCCTCTGCGGCCGCCAGGTATGGCACAGATGCCCACGTCCGGGCCAAAGGCCGAGGGCCGCAGCGCACCGTCCCGTTCACGCCCCCATCGCACTGGGGCCGCTCAGTCGCTCGCTTCTCCTCCTCTGGAAACACCGGCTGCCTGCAGCTGGGAGCCGCCGAGGCAAAGCGAGTCCACCACTGCCACAAGGTGGGACTTGCAGGCCCGGTCTCCCCAGACTCGCTGTCTCTCCATGGTCCCAGCCAGGCCCCAAGAAGCCATCCTTTGCTCCTTGGCTGCTCAGGGCTGGCGTTTGGAGGGGTGCAGGCCTCCCCTGTACCAGGCTGTGGGCACAGCGGGCATCCCTGGGGAGCCGCGTGGCCCGTGGCCAGGCGTGGGGCTGTGAGTGGACAAGGCCACCAGATCGTGGATGCAGAAGGATGAGAGATGCCGCCCCACCGCCATGCTGAAAATAAAACCCAGGCACAAAGCAACAAATACTGGGGAGAATGTGGAGAGGTTCGAGGGCGGCAGGTGGGAAGACAAAACAGTGCAGCTGCTGCTGTGGAGCCGTGGCAAACAGTTCGGAGATTCCTCAAAACGTGAACGTGGAATTATCCTAGGATCCAGCAGTTCCACTCCTAGGTATACGCCCAGAAGAACTAAAACCAGCTATTCAAACAAATGTTTACACACATCTGTTCACAGAAGCATTAATTACAAATTGCCAGAAGATCCATGGGTGAAGGAGTGGATGAACGAATTGTGGTATATCCATATGGTGGAATATTAGCCATAAAAATGAACAAAATATATGTATTACCAGACGACTCTCTAAGAATAGGATGTAAAATTGTAAAAGCCAGGCCCTGGGTAGTACTTTACTTCCAGGGTTCCCAGTAGTACGGGAAATCCTGAGTAAGAAAATCAGAGAGCAGAGATTAGTGGTTGCCAGCAGTCGGGGATGAAGGATAGATGTCGGCTGCTCACCAAGTGTGTGCTTTTTTGGGTATCATGAAAATGTTCTGAAACCAGGCAAGCGGTGTTTGTACAGGTTATGAATGTATTACTGAGCCTCTAGGACGGTGAGTGTTGTGTGATGTGAACGTTGCTGAGACTAGAAGTAAAAGGGTTCCAGCAGAGAAGCACGGGATGGAGGAGCGGAGCTGAGACAGTCTAGTTGCTTGCCTGGGCCACAGGGAGGGCGAGGAATTAAGGGTGGGCGGCTCGTAAAACACACAGTACCTTCCTGGATAAAGGTAACACTGTCTTGCTATGTAGCTCAGGCTGGCCTTGAACTTGTCATGATCCTCCTGCTTCAGCCTCCCAAGTGCTGAGATCCCAGGTGTGCACCACCACAGCTGGGCCACAAAGTTTCTTTTTTAAAGATTTCTATGATAATGTGAAAACAAAATAATACAGCAAGCCCAAGGCGAATAATTAAATCAGAAAGCTTACGTGGCTGCTGATGACAGTAAAGCCTGCCCTCCCTGCAGGAACGTGAAGTTGGAGCATTACGGGTTGTGATCACTGTGTGTTACTCACTAATGTGCGAGAGCGTGTGCCTGTGGGTCGGTGTGGCAGTCGTGGGCAGTGGGGTCAGCGCTGCCCTGTGCCCCGCTCCACACAGCTTTGTCCCTGCTTGGGGTGAGGTGGGGCTCTGACTTCCCACCCCGCAGTGGAATCATGAGAAATGTCACAAAACTCAGGTCATCCTGGTAAAAGTGTCCCATCTTGTGGGGACGGGTTCCTAGCTGTCCTGGGCCGCCTGCAGCCCAGGAGAAGTTGCGCACCCTTGAGTGACAGACACGTGAGTCCCACACCCCCGGAAGGTTGAAAACAGTGACTTTGGCCTCTGCTTGCCAGAGCCCATGGAGGGGTCCGAGGGTCCTAGGAGGGAGGAGGAGAGAGTGGCCTCTTGTTGCTGGGTGCTGGTGGCCCCAGCCAGGGCTCGACCTACATGCAGGTGACTCGCCCTGCAGTCCCAAGCTAGAGCCCATTTTTCTGTTTAGGCAGCAGCCCCCACAGAGCCCTGCCTTATTGAAGAATGGTTCTTCCTGCTGGCTCCTCAGATCCCTCCTGAGCCCCTTCCTGCTTCTATTTAAGGAAGGTGTTTGTCGCTGCCAGACTTGAAAGGCTGGGAGCCCCCTCGGCGGACACCAGGGCAGGGCCGTGGGCCTTGGGTCTGTGCCCAGGGCACCCGCACTCCGAGGCTGCCTTCCTTATCCTTGGCCTGCTGTACGCTGCTGGGCGCCCTGAGAAGGACTCCTCACATGCGACCACTGTCCTGCCTGTCCTGTCCACAGCCTCAGAGAGCTGTGACATCCCTACTGGGCAGCACAGGGAGCTGCATGGCTCGGAGCAGCTAGATTCCCAGGGTGGAGGGGAGGTATACCCCGAAATTGAGGCTGAGAGCAGCTGGCCCTGAGGACCTCGGGGTTAGGGGAGGAGGCCGTAGGCTCTGCTCCCCAGGCTGCAGAGGGGAGAGGAGAGGCGGAAGATCCCATAACCATCCTGGTGGGCCACAGCCCTGTGGCGAGGTCCCGGGCTCCATCCCAGTGCTGGAGAAGCGAGAGGTCCCCTGTCTCAAATTGGGGTGAGGAACGGGGCTGGCAGGAAGAGCGATGGGGAGATGGGAAGAGCTGACTGCTGGGGGAGTGGTGGACCCCCTTGCCCTGGCTGTTGTCCTGGAGAGGGGTGCCCCACCCTCTGACAGCCCCCTCTGGCTCCCTCCCTGGCCCTGCATGCTGGTCCTGGTCCTGACAGCATCTGAGGGTTGCAGGCTTTGTGTTCCCATCCCATGGCTGCTGTGACAATGACTGCAGACACCGTGACCAAAACCACACGGCTTGTGCAATTCCATGGGCCGCACGCCGGAGTTGGTCCTGCTGAGGTCAAACTGTCTGTCTAGAGGCGAGCGGTGGTGGTAGGGAGGGACCCGCTTCTCGCCTTTCTGGCTTCTGCAGGTGCCTTCCTTGCTTGTCTCCCTGTCCCCCTGCTCCCTGTGTGACTCGCTGCCCCCTGGCCCCTAGGACACCCTGGGTGAGAGTGTAGGGGGGATGAGGCCCTGCTTCCTGCCCAGCGATGTCCAGAAGCTGCCAGGCTCAAGATCAGCTGAGTCACGTGTCCCCTTTGCTGTCTCTGTGACAGAGCCCTGGGTTCTGAGGACCAGGATGTGGGCTTCTCGGGGGTCAGCACTACACCTGGCACACTGCCCCGTGCTCCCCCAGCCCCAGCATCCTCTGAGGGATGAGTCTGGCTCAGGTCTGAGGCACCCACACCTGCTCCCCAATGACACAGTGGTGGTGGGAAGGTCTCTTTTGCTTCCCCGCACCACTCTTCTCAAGCCTGCGTTTCCAAGTGGCCCATTCAGGAGCTATTTTAGCGGATTCTTCTCCCTGGAATTGCAAAGAGAAAATGACAGTTTTTTGTGGCCAAAGAAAGTGATGTACAAGTCCTCAAAAATGTCAAGGTCAGGCAGGCAGCTGTGACCCTGGAGGGGTCATTTATAAAGGGTCACTGGCTCCTGACGCCCGCCTCTGCCTCCTACCCTCAGGACGGCATGGTCTCTGCCGCCACTTTTGTTTCTGCCGTGGTAACATTCTCCCTGCGAGTCTCCTCACAGCACAGAGGGAGGTGTCTCTTGGCGAATCTCTTTCACCTGCACACAGCCATGTACAGCCCTGTACCGAGACGAGGGTGCTCGAGTGTCCAGCATGCAGGGGGATCCGAAGCTTGAGGGCCCTGGAGGGACTCGGGCAGTGGCTGCCGGCCGGGGCCACGGCCATGTGCTCTGCAGCCCGGTCCCTATCGGCCTGGGGCTCCGATCCCTAAACCACGGAAACTCAGGCCAGAGAGCGTCTAAAACCACACATTTAAGTAACTTTCCAAAAACGCAGCAGGCCCGATGGCTCTGTCACCATGCACACCTGCAGGACCTCCATCAGGAGCAGGAAGGACCACCCACATGTAGGGCTGTGGGCACAGTTTGTGCCAGGCACGGTGCTCCATGCAGAGAACCCTTCCGAAGGCACATGGCTCTGCGTTACAGCTCGTTTGTTGCCTGCCCCACAAAACAAAAGGGATGAGGAATAAGCTCAGGAATCCTCTTAGTGACCCTGGGGAGGCGGCTGCTACTTAGCCTCAATGTGTGGATGAGGAAACCGAGGCTGTGAGTCGAGGACCACCCACTCCCAGGTCATGAGCTGTGAACTTTGAGGCTGTGGTCATCTCACCTCCACTGAGGAAAGGAAGAAGTTGGGGTGAAAGGCGCCAGCTCCTGGGGTGGAGTAGGGGGGAGCTGCCTCTTCGGGGCTGCGTGACCTTGGGAGAAATGTGACCCTGGGCAGAGGCCTCAGGACACGCCCGTCACCCAGCTCAGTATGAGTGTCTGGTGCAGGGTGAGAGAATCCCTGGGGTGTACGTAGGAGTGGAACCACTGTGTCGGAGCCCGTGTTCACACCAGGAGAGCCTGGAAGTCCTGGGGACAGGCACAGCCCAGGACTGGCTGCAGGCCACAGTGGGGAGGGACAGAGTGCAGGACAGAGGCCCAGGATGGGTGCTGTGACCTTAGGGGAAAGTGCAGGGTCCTGGGGGTGGAGCTGAACCGAGAGGAATCAGGGAGGCTGAGTGGCCACTTCACAGAAGGACCTGGCTGAGAAGTCACTGGGACTCGGAGAAGCATCAGGGGCTCCAGCCCTGGCAGGTGGGGGTGGCCAAACCTCCTGGGTGGGGACAGCGCCTGGAGGGGTGGAGAGGGCAGAGGAGGCACATGGAGCTGGGCTGGCGTGGAATCAGGTGCCAGTGTGAACTGGTGCTGCCAGAAGATGCAGTAGCTACAAAAAAGGTGGGGGGGGGTCACTGAGGCTGGGTGGCCTGGCAGCCGGGTGGGAGGGGGCGCCGCATTCGAGGGGCCTTTCCTCCCTGTGACCCCAGTACCAGGGAGCTGCTGCCTGGCAGGTGGCTTGTAGACAGTGGTGGGGTGTGGGCAGGTTCCAGGGGACGGGGCTCCCCTGTGGGGCCCCTGAGGGCCTGCAGAGGGGTGGAGGGAAGGGGGACAGGAAGCCCGCCTCCTGGGCTGGTGCAGGGGTGGCCATTCGGGGCTGGGGGCAGAGAAAGCCTCCCAGGATCAGGAATCTTCAGTGACACTGGTCCTCACTGCACTCCCAGGGCAGGAAGGCAAAGGGATGAGAGAAGCCCAGGCCGGTGGCATCCCTGATGTCACCAAGGAGTGTGATGGAGGCTGAGGTGGGGAAGGGAAGTTCAGGCGCACAGTGAGGTTCTGCTAGCCATAGAGCTCTGCATTTTTTGGTGCAATTCCATTGAATTTCTTGGGGTGCCCCCTTGTCCTTCAGAGTCTCCTGCAGAGGAGGTCACCAGGAAATCGTGGCCGGTTCTTTCCTCCCAGGGGTTGTGGTTGTTTCAAGACATTGCCGATCCCCCAGTGATGGCACATGCCTGTAATCCCAGTACTTGGAAGGCTGAGGCAGGAGGGTCACGGCCTGCCTGGGTTATACAGTGAGTTCAGGGCCAGCCTGCACTGCACAGAGAAGCCCAGTCACAAAGCAAAAGAAAAGAAAACAAAATGAAGGACACAAGCACTTGGAGAGTGGCAGAAAGTACAGAGGGGACCGATGTGTGAGTCAGAAGGAGTCCAGGGAGGACACAGATGGAGGGAGCCTGGTCCCCATAGCTGGATTCAGGAGGGATTTGGCCTGAGACTGCTGTGTGTTTTGCAGGACGGATGATGGGGCGGACCGGTGACATGGGGCATGGGATCGCGCAGACTCCCCCGAGCCCCATGTGAACACAGGACTCCTCGCCCAGCCTAACCCTCTGCTTTCTCTCCCACTCCCACCCAGAACGTGGGCAAGGTCCTCACCAAGGGCTGCCGCTATGTCGTCCTCGGCCTGCAGGGCTTCGCTGCCGCCTACTCTGCCCCCTTCGCAGTGGCCACCAGTGTGGTGTCCTTCGTGCGCTAGAGGACCCCACGCCTTCCGGACCGGAGCTCACGGGACACACAGATGAGAAAGCTGTCTTCTTTGTCAGAGTGGATGGAGTCAGGCCTGAGCCCCCCTGCTGCTTCCAGCTCCCGTGGCTCCCGGACACAGTGGCCCTGGGGTCATCCTGTGGGACTCAGGCGCAGGTCCTATTTGGCGCCAGGGGCAGTTTGCCCCCAGGACACTTAGAACCTTCATGGGAGGTGGCAGGCAGGGGTGAGGGTGGATTTGAGTAGCGTGGGCTGCAGATGGTCATTCCAAGGCAGGAAGGACTCTTGTTGGGGTCCTGAGTCCACCCAATTGTCCCATGCAGGTCACGGGCTTCCGGGGGCACCCCGGGCCTGGCTGCCTGAATTCTACAGTTGTTCTCTCCCCACCTCTCCCTCCCAACTCTGTGGCCAGGGGTTTCATCACAGGCTCGGGAGGAAGGAAGACAGGAGGGACAGATGGACAAACTCCCTTTGAAGGCTGTGAAGCTTTGCAAAGCGCATCCCCAGCTGGGCCACAGCTGTAAAGGAAGGGCTCACTGTCTGTCTCCCCACAAGAGTCTCCCCATGACATAAGCAGCTAGGGGAAGCACGAGCTCTGGTACCTGGGCACAGCTCCTCTGGGACGCTGCGCTCCTCCCGGTGTCTGGGAGCTGCAGGTGGGGGTGGTGGGAGGAGGGAGCTGGAAGCTGGGGGAGGTGCGGATCAGAGAAGGAACCAGTAAGTAGCAGAGGGGCTGAGGATGCAGATGTAGAGAGGGCAGCAAGGACACCGGAGGAGAGCCGGGCATCCAGGGCCTGGACAGAGTGTCCAGCCTCGGGGGTCCCAGGGCTGCTGGGCTTGCAGCTCTGGGGTGACCAGGGAGGTGGGCAGGGCGTCGTGCTGGGGAGCTGTGCTCTGCAGCCCACGGGATCAAGTGGTTGGGCATGGGGCCCCCACTGGGGCTCGGCGGCCCAGGCTCCTGGACTGGAAGGTTAGGGCGGATGGGATCCTGGCCCCTGCCTGGGCAGCCTGGCTGTGTTGGACGTCTAGGGGCTCACAGGGCAGCGGAGGGCGGAGAAGATCTGACTGCAGCCCGGAGGCAGATCCAGAGCCTGGACGCTCCTGCCTCCTCCACGCAGCCTGCAGGGCCTGGGAGGCAGGGAAGCTGACAGACAGATGGACAGACTGATGCATGGACGGATGGACAGGCCGATGGATGGACGGATGGCTGGAAGGGAGAAAGCGGTGGCTGGACACAGGGTGGAGTAGGAGAAGCAAAGCTAGGTTAGGAGACCAGAAAGATCAGAGCTGTAAAACTGTGCTTTTCAGGAAAACCTGCTTTAGGACACAAAAGTTACTGGAGCCTTTTTTCCTTTCAGTGAACTCAAATGTCTTGCGGGGTCTTAGAATACGCCGCTAAATTGGGCTTTGGGGCCCGTGTGTTTCAATCTGTCCACTACACATTCTCCCCAAACTTCCACTCTCTGGGAGGCAGCAGTCACGGAGACTGTGTTCTCATGAGTATGTGACCAGCAGTGGGGCCCACACCCGAGACTGCTCCGACCCCAAGCCCTGTAAAGACCCCAGCTGCAGACCATAGGGCCACCCGGGGGCTGTGCTCTGACTTTCTGTGTACACTTTAAATTTTTGTCTAATAAATTCCTTTATACCTCTTGCTAATGTGTCCTGGAAATTCTTTTTCCGAGATAGAAGTTTCTGGTCCTGGGAACCTGCTGGCGGCCGTCCAGGGACAGAGACCCACGTGGTAGCCTGAGTGGCATCATTAGTGCTTGTGAGGAAGAGCACAAGCAAGGATGGAGTGCGGCAGGCTGGGCCACACTGGGTATGGGAGGAGAGAGAAGTGAGGAGCCGGGGCCTCTGGGGGATGGGAGCTGCACAGAGGGACCAGGAGCTGAGGAGCCCGAGCACTTGAAATGGAGTGAGTCTGGCCCTGAACTCCTTAAACCTGATTAAGAATTAACTCAGAAATGTGGAAGCCTGTGCCTCCCAGAGCTTGTCCTAGGGATCAGGTTCAGGAGAGCTCCCTACCTTTGGGGTTCTCGGGGCTCTGTCAGGCTGTAGGCGGCCTTTGTACCTTACTCTCTGACCTTGCTGGTAGCAAGCTGGCACCCTCCTGGCCTGCACCGGAACTCTGACCGGCCCTGGGCGCTTCTGGGCTCTTCCCTGCCCTGTGATGTGAGCAGTGTTTCTGTGTGGGGCTGTTTCTCCCTCACGCTCTTCCTTGCCCGGGAACCTGGTAGGCAGGTAGGGGTGTCTTCCTGGGGGACCCGGCAGGGGCCCAGAGCTGCCGCCCGCAAGGAGGCCCTTGGCAGGTGGTCAGGGGTCGACCCTCAAGGAGCAGGAAAGGGCGGGCTCCTGGTTCCTGGGTCCCAGTCTGTGACTGCCGAGGCCACTTGGTTGACTTTGGTGTTTTGCATGGGGCCAGGAGGTATGGCTGTTCCCTGCATGGTCCCAGTGACATCTGCCAGGGGTCACCGAGGTGGGGCCTGGGCCAGCCCATGTACAGGGGGCCTGAGCTCACAGCATCCACAGGAGGGACAGATGGCAGGAAGAGTGGTGGTCTGCGTGGCCACGGGATCACTGGCCAGTGAATGGGGCAGTCAGGTCACTGTTCTCAGAACTCACAGCCCTGTCCACCTGCCGCCCGGGGCTCAGGTCTGGGCAGCTGCTGACCAGGGAAGAGAACAAGAGTTGTGCTCAGTATTAGGTCAGTGCTCCGACCCTCCTTTTATTTTATTCTTGGGAAGACATCAGAGATTATCTAAGGTTATTTGCTGAGACACCAAACCTCGGGAAGTCGGCCCCAGTGTCCTGGCCAGGAGACTGGGAGACTAGGGCAAGGTCATGCTCCTGCTGCCAGCTCTGGCAGCGTCTCCTCCAGGCTCCCAACCCCTGAGGGGCCTGGGGGTCCCTCCAGAGCCATGCATCCCTGTGTCACTGTGCTCTGGGTCCTTAAGAAGCCTCCAAGGTAGTGGGGTGCTGCATACTTGCCACCCCTGGCTTTCAGAGTGCTGGGCTTGCTTGCTGCTAACTGCTCCAATTCCAGTGCCGAGGGGTGACACAGAGCCAGGCTGCGAAGGGCGTGTGGCCCAGGTGGCTGCGAATTCACTTTGCCATTTCACCCACGCTCAGTGGCCGTTTCTGCAGCTGCCGTTGCTGCACCACTCAGGGACTGGGGTGCAACTTGGGGTGCAGCACCTGCCTGGCTTGTGCAGAATGCTGAGGTCCAGCCCTGCTCCAAAGGAGGAAGGATGGCAGACGGGAGGACGGAAGGCAGGAAGGAGGGAGGAGGGAAGGAGAGAGGAGGGGATGCAGCCGGAGAGTGCAATGCTGTGCCCCCTTCCGTGGCCGCCCCCAGCTGCAGGCCCCTCTGTGGTGACCAGAGGGCTGGTGACAGAGGGCCAACCTTCTCAGCACCAACTGTCTTTCCCAGCCCAGCATGCCTGAGGTCCCGAAGCATGAGATAAAATACGGAGCCTCCTCCCTCCCTGTGCTGTGTCCTACCCTTCTCTAAGCCTGAAGAGCCCTGTGTGAGGCCACAGCAGAGCCCCTGACCACTCGCAGCTTTGAGGACAACTTCATTGCAACGCAGCTGTCCAGAGAGGCTGGCGGGACCAGGGCGCCCTGAGAGGCACGGCTCTGTGCCTCCCTCGCTCTAGGCTTCTCTCCCTTGTGGAAGTGCCTCTCACCCTTACTCCAATTCCTGGTTCTCCTCAGAGACCCCAGGTGCTCCCCATCTTCCAGGTGTCCTTGTCCATCAGCAAAGTCTCCATGCCCGTGTCATCAGCCCTCTACGATGCCCTGTCCTCACCTTGGGAGGAGTCCGGGAGCCCAGGAGGGGATGCACTGGCCTCATCAGCTTTCCAGGTCCTGCCCTTCCTGGGGTGGCTCAGGCCTGGATACCCTGCTCCCCTTCCTTGGAAACGCACAGGCTGGGATGTGGGAGCCAGGTGGCCACTGTGGACCAGAGAGGTCAGGCGGGTGATGCCCACCCCAGCCAGGGCAGGAGGGGGCTGCGACCTCTCAGCTCTGCTGGCCCCTGTGCGGAGAGTTTCACCCCACCTCTATCACCTCAGAAGCTGATCACAGGGGCTGTGAGGCAGGTGGAAGGGTCACTGGTACCTAAGGAGCTTGGGCACACAGTGGGCCTGGGACTCGGATGAAGCCTGGTGCTCTGTGGCCCCTCGGGGACACAGCTCAGGGTGGCCTCCTTTCCTAAGACAGTGGCAATGAGGAGCGGGAGGGCCCTCACCAGCCCCCTGCCTTTGTGCATTTACTCTTTCCTCTTATGCCCAGCTTTGAGCCCCTGATGTCTTTTGGGCCAGACCCTTGGTCAAGGTTGGTGTTCCCTGGTGATTAGGGATGTGCCCCCAGCTGTGTGCAGAGTCAGGAGGCTCCCCACGACGGGCCAGGTCTTCCCCTTCTGACACTGACACATGGGGTCACCACACTAGGGGAACAGGGTCACCAGCAGGTACAGGGCCCTTGTGGGCTAAGCCCGGAAGCAGGATGCAGGAACACAGAGCCCAGCGTTCCCCTGCCCACCCTGGGAGACAGCAAGTTGGGGCTGTAGGGTGAGCGGCTGGGGTGGGGGAGGAGGCAAGGGACAGCTTGAGAAGGAGATGACATGTGTGCAGGGACCCTTGTCACGGGACTGAGCAACCTGGGCTGGCAGCAGGACTGGGCACTGGGTACTGGGCACTGGCAGTGACCTAGGCAAAGGTGACCTGCAGGAGGGGCACTGGTGCCTGTGGGGCCTTTGAAGCCTCCCTCTCTACTCCCTCGGGGCCCTGGAAGTAACCTGGGCACTGGGAGGGGCATCGGGAAGGCAGTGCTGACGTCCCGCGCTCCCTCCCCTCTGGGGCTGGACATGGGGCTGGCAGGGCTGAGGTGGAGGCCGAGGTGCACAGTATGTCCCTCCTGCCCTGGCCATCGTCCTGAGCCAGGCCTCCTCCTGGGTCCTGCCTCTGCTCTTGGTCACTCACTGCCCCTCCTGCACATCCCCCATGCCGCTGCCTCTTTTTCTGCACCTCTGGCCCGGCAGTCCGCGGCCCCCTCAGAGGAAGCAGCACAATGGGGACCGCTTCCTATGCAGCCAACCAGGCCGTTTTCCTGGCACTGGCTTTGTTTCCCCAGCCCGGCCACATCCGGCCTCTGCTCTCCTGGTCAAGGTCCCCAGGCAGGATGGCTCTGCCCTGCCCAAGGCCATGGCCTGGCCTCCACCGCACCAGATCTGCTTTAAAGCTGAGCTGCCCTGGCAAAGCTGAAGGTCGCATATCTCGACACCTTCCCCCATCCCAGTGGCCAGTGCACAGCCATCTTCGGATATGTGTCCCCGGGCTCTGCCCAAAAGTCTCCCGAGTGAGGGCTGTGTGGACTGGGTGGGTGCTGTGTGCTGTGAGAAGGGAAGAAGGGAAAGAAAGCAAACAGCAGAGTGTCTGCAGGACACCCAGAGGTACGTGCAAGGCCAGACCTGTCCTAGAGGACCTCAACCCTGAAGCCCAGCGCAGGACCCAGTGCATGTGGACACCTCCTCAGCCGGCCCTGCCTGGGGAGGAGCTGTGTTGCCATTGACACCCTGGGACATCACCTCAAAGCCAGGATGGGGTGCATACCAGTGTGAGGGGACAGCTCAGGCTGGGCTGCACTGGGTACCATGCAGGAGTGGACAGGCCCTCCATCATCCCCACGTTGGACTAGGTTGTCAGGATGCTCCCAGGATCCCAGCAAAGGCTAATGTCTGTTGGGTTCTTCTCTTGTCAAGGATACCAGTGAGTGCCAGAGAAGAAACTCACAGGCAAGTTCTGGGGGTTTCCACCGAGCTTCTGGGCCCTCAGAGCCAGATCATGCGCCTCCCAGCATAGTTGTGTCCAGTGTCCTGCGGCCCCCAAGCCCTGCTGTGCAGGAATTTTCATAAAGCCTGCACTACAAGGATGTGACTGAGGACCTCCCCGGCCTGCTCCCAGGGAGTAGGTGGACCCCTGGCCCTGGGCAAGGTAGGGCCCCTCTGCAAGCAGCTCCCATCCTGGACCCCCAGGAGTGGTAACCTGGGAAGGTCAAGAGTGTGGGAGTCCCCACTGGCATTCCCCCCGCCCCCCAAGAAGTCTCAAGGGCTCGACTTTGACCAAGCCAAAGCCAAATACACAAAGGAAGAGGCAGGCAGAGCTGCTTCCGTCCCTCACTTTGGACAGTACCGAGGTCCAGGGGCAGCGCCAGGAGTGAGGGCAGAAGCCTAGGGTGGATTTGCATCATGTCCCAGCTGGGTTTGATGTGCCCCTCTAAACTCGGTTGCCACTGTGTGACAGATCAAGAGTGGGATATAGGGCTCAGGGCTCTTCCTGCAGAGGGATCAGGTGACCACACACTGGACCTGGGCAGACTCAACCATCAAACAATCGTGGAGGCAGAGACCCCGCTCTCACCAGACACCAGACTCCCAGGACCCAGAGGAGACAGTTCCCTTTCTGTTTTTACATTTTTGTTTTTATTCACATGGGTCTGCAGGGTACAGTGGTCACGGTCCTCGCAGGGGAGGGGGGTCAGCACGTGGACGCCACACAGCCTCATTCTCTCACTTCTGCAGACTCAGCAGGGGACAGCAGCACTGTCCCTGCTGCCATAGAGCTAGCAGTCAAGGGGGCGGGGGGCACCAGG